TCACGTCCACGTTGGATGGTTGCTGGCTCGAGTCTTCTGACGTTCGACTATCAAGTAACTCAGACTCTCGTTGGTCATCGTTATGTAGCATCGGCACAGACACCATAGAAAACATCGCCTTCAACAGATCTCGTATTGTTGCGTTGTTGCGTAGCGACAGCCCGCGTATTTACCAGTTGTCTAGCAACGACCGCTCGTTAATTAAGTCTCGGCACAGATACATAGAAAACACCACCTCCAACAGATCTTGTATTGTTGCTTTGTTGTGTAGCGACAGCCCGCGTATTTACCAGTCGTCTAGCAACGACCGCTCGTTAATTAAGCCTCGGCACAGATACCATAGAAAACACCACCTCCAACAGATCTTGTATTGTTGCGTTGTTGTGTAGCGACGGCCCGCGTATTTACCACTTGTCTAGCAACGACCGCTCGTTAATTAAGCCTCGGCACAGATACCATAGAAAACACCACCTCCAACAGATCTTGTATTGTTGCGTTGTTGTGTAGCGACGGCCCGCGTATTTACCAGTTGTCTAGCAACGACCGCTCGTTATGTAAGCCTCGGCACAGACTCCATAGAAAATAACAGCTCCTGTACTGTTGTGTTGTTGCGTAGGGACGGCCCCCGTGTTTACCGTCAGTTGGCTAGCAACGACCGCTCTCCTCGCTCCGCTATTCCGGATTAACACTGTCCTCAAATTTTTTCCCGAAAAGAATGTAGAACCCGCTTAACTTCAGAAAACCAGCCTATTTCCTGGGTGAAAAATGAAAATACATGAGATAAAAGTATTCGATGTGATGATAATTTGCAAGGGAAGAAAATCTATATTGAGTACAAAATACATCTAATTTTATTCTTCAAATTTCGTTCCAAAAATGTTCCTCTCCTCGAAGTATTTAGCGACTAACTAATGCAGATCTTCACGTAAAGAGTCTTTTATTTTGATCGATTTTAATCAAAATATAAATGTGTGACATTCTCAAATTTAATGAAAATCCGTTCATCAGTCTTCCAGACGTTTCACAGACTGACGGATGGACGGAGTTTAATATGCGCTCCTCACGTTGCAAACCGTCCAAAGAAATAAAGAAGGAAGATAAAAAGAACTTGCAACTAAGTTGAAGAATTGTCTCAGCTGATACAAGGGAACTCTTACCGAGGAGGACATAGATAATTAATAATTAACTGAGTAAAGGTGTGACGCATTGGGGGGGGGGGGNGGGAAGCACGCACACCATGAAAAAGTGCGAGGCATAATTAGTAAATTGAAATGGATATCTCTTAGCTAGCGAGACGACATGCTACTTGATAGTGTCAATAGCGAGGCAATCCTAATGACGGCTACATAGTAGGGCTGTTGACAGCAGCAGGAAAGTATGGACAGTCAGTACTTTAGGAATAGTAACAGTGACATATGTAACAAGTTGGTAAATGTATGCGTAGTTAACAGTTCTGGAGCATTCGAACCCTTGGTTTAATTATCTCGTAAACCATATGACTTGATGAAAGCGTGTATTGAGCATAAAATATGGTTTTCGTTTTCGATATAACTTTTATGCGAAACATTTTTCTCTTTGCTCCGATAAATGCTTAGCGAGTTTCTTGGTCGCCATGTGAAGGAACGTGGGAAGAGTATAAATAACTGCAATTATTATTACGTGAAGGGCCAAATTGTAATTCTAAGATAAGGACTGAAATTAAACAATTAGTGACAACCGTAGGAAGGGTGTCAGGAAGCGGTTTGCACCGTACATCCCACAACTATTGGTTAAGTACTTTGTTGTGATTTTGGCCTTCTGGCTGTCCGAAACGATCCGTAATCTCCGTAATATTGGCAGCCATGTGCGAAATTGTTACAACACCCGCAGCCAAAAAGGGAACACATCACGAGACACGATATACACGGAGTATAAGAGGAACGACTCCCATAGTGGAGGAACCATGCGCGGGTTTGAATTTGGACAAATAAGATGACTATCTTAACAAGATTTTAGTATATAAAAATTTATTATAATTGACGAATATTTTTAAATACTTTTTAAATAATTTTACAATGACATAATGGCAAGCAATGCAATAGATTAGCGTAATTGGAGCACCTGATGATGGCATTATGTTACCAAAACATGTTGTGAAATAACAGGTTAAATTGAGTGCAGTACAAGACCGACACGGCATACATATCATGGATGTAATGTATTCATTCATTCATCAGTAATCTGTCAGACGACAGGTCCACAGTCTCTTCCAAAACAGTTCCTCCACTTAATGCGATCACAAGCGTTCTCCTTCAAATAAAATTATCCTCTTCTGTCCCCAAGGTCATCCATCATCTTCTTACGTCTTCTTCCTCGTCTTCTGGTCACTTCTATCCGCCCCTCCGGTTTGTTTTGGCTCCTACTACGGAGCTGCTCGGGACGAGCACCCATGAAGAAGAGGGGCGTAGGCAACACGCGGAAGACGAACACCTTAGGAAAGGAAATCAAGGATGCACCGTTAGGCTGTTCGGGACGAACAACTTTTAGAAGGGAGCAATGTAACGTGTCTGGAGTAGATACCTCCATGGAAACGCAATAACAATGGGCCGTTGCGTAGGAAGTGCAGAAGCAATGAACGCGTTTCCCTCGGAGATGAACAACAGAAGACCGTTTGTACCAACGGATGAGACGAAACACGTTACCGCCATAATCTATAGACATCGTTCCTGAAGCAACGGATTGCCGAACACGCGTGATCGAACCTTGGCGAGAGGTGCCCTCCCCTATATAAGCAGAGCTTAGGACATGTACCAGATTATTATTGTTAGAGAACCGAGAGTCAAGCATTGAGGCAGAAGCCAGTTGATACTACAGCCGACAACGATTGTAAAGAGTGTAAGAGTGAATATTGAATAAAGATTCGCTGAATCCGAGAACCACGTGAATTTATTTGTCGCGTGATATACCCAACACGTGACAACTGTATAGTTTTGTGAAAATATTAACCTTAACCTATCTTTGTTTCTTAAAAGATGGTGAATCACTAACTGAGATCTTCGCTGTTTTATAATATTTAACAGTAGAATAAACGTAGGAAATGCATGTTATTCAGAAAGTTTATATTTTCTGCCCTACAAGAGAATAAGTTACGAATGGATGACAGAACTGGAGATTCAACATCTGATCTTGAATCACATCCTGTCTCTGCGATTCACTTTCATTTCCTTCGTTGTCATCAAATTGGTCGGTCTTCAGATAGTTTCCCCATCTTATTCATTCTTCTTCGAGATCCACTGCAACCCATTTCAATTCAAACACTTTAACAGGAAGTCCATGGTAACCAGTAACAATCACAAAGTTCGTGGTTATTTAAAGGTAAAAGGGACAATGTTGCTGTTTCGTCATCAAAATGCTGGGCAAAATCATGATATAAAGATAGGAAACAGATGTTTTGAAAAGGTGGCACAGTTCAGATATTTGGGAACAACGATAACAGATCGAAACCTGATTCAGGAGGAAATTAAGAGGAGATTGAACTCGGGTAATGCTTGCTACCATTCGGTCTAGAACCTTTTGTCTTCTCGTCTGCTGTCTGAAAACGTAAAAACTAGAATACAGAAACTATAATTTTGCCTGTGGTTCTGTATGGATGTGAAACTTGGTCTCTGACATTAAGGGAGGAACATAGACTGAGGATGTTTGAGAACAGGGTGTTGAGGAGAATATTTGGACCGAAGAGAGATGAAGTGACAGGAGGTTGGAGAAGACTGCATAATGAGGAGCTTCATAACTTGTACTCTTCTCCAAGTATAATTAGAATGCTCAAGTCAAGGAGGATGAGGTGGGCAGGGCATGTAGCACGAATGGGAGAGACGAGGAATTCGTATAGGACATTGGTGGGAAAGCCAGAGGGAAAGAGACCACTGGGAAGACCAAGGCGTAGGTGAGCGGACAAAATTAAAATTGGTTTTGAGAGATAGGATGGGATGATATTGATTGGATTGAACTGGTTCAGGATTAGGGACCAGTGGAGGGCTCTTGTGAACACGGTAATGAACCTTTGGATTCCATAAAATGCTGGGAAATTTTTGAGTAGCTGCAGAATTGGCGGCTCCTCCAGAAGGGCTCAGCTCCATGAGTAAGTAAGTAAGGTAAAATTGTCCTTGTGCTTAACTAATTAAGGTCTATGTCATGAAGGCGTATGCGGGAGTCGATGTGTAGAACCACATTTTCTTGACCTCAGAACCAGTTGGAGGTGAGTGGTCAGCTTTATCCCCAGGGAAAGATCCTCTGGTACCCATTGGATAGGAGGTTGGGTGGACCCCAGAGTCGGTCTGAATGACGTGGAGAAAATTACTGACTCTACCGGGGTTTGAAATCCAACCCCTCAGTTGTCCAGCCTGTACCCAGTCACTATACGGACTACGCTATCCCAGCTCATTAATTCTTGGTTATGTACTATCCTCAATTGCGGGCCGCGCCATAGCTCAATCGGTTATTCGCCGGCTTCCCACCTCGGCGACCCGGGTTCGATCCCATGTCTGGTCAAGTGGGATTTGTGGTGGACAAAGTGGCGGTGGGGCAGGTTTTCTCCGAGTACTTCGGTTCCTCTGCCAAACTTCATTCCACCAATTGCTCCACAAGCACCCGCACCTATCATCTGGGGCTGGTACAATAGGCCAGAAGTGGCCGCAGTACAAGGGACTTAGTCCCACCCCACTAGCAATAAAAAAATCCTCAAGTGTGGAATATAGAATAGATGTCACAGGCTTATTATGCAGATTGGGCTCCTCCCAACTGTGAGCAGAATATGCAATTTTTGAGAGGTGTCTCCTAACAAACTGGTAAGAGAGTTAGTTGATTTCGTTCTTGGAGACTGAGTCTGTATAAGGGCAATGCCTGTACAGAGACATAGAGTACTGTGGTTTACAAATCGCATTTACATTGCTCTGCTTGATTTTGTGTGTGTGTGTGTTTGAATTATACACAAAAGTGAGAGACTGCTTAACTTTGTATTGCAGCTCCAGATCCACCTTCCAACCTGTCAGTCAGTGTTCGCAATGGGAAGACTGCCCAAGTGTCATGGAGTCCTCCGTCTCTTGGTCACTATTCCAGCTTCAAGCTCAAGGTAAAACATTTGGTGCTGTGCTGTCATATCATTACAGTTCAGTGACCAGTCAATAATGCCCCTTCCATTCACATGACGTTCCGGCATATTTAGTGTGGGTGTACCAGGAAGGCCAGAACAAATATTTTAATTCATATTTACATGTAAGTTGACCGCATCTGTGGTCTAGTGGTCAGAGTTCCTTCCTATAGATCCAGAGGTCTGGGTTCGATTCTGGCGCTGCCAGATTTTCAGAGAAGTGGTGGGCCTGGAACAGGGTCCACTCAGCCTCATGAGGATACTTGAATTGCTATTTCAAGGAAATAGCTACTCCGGTCTAGAAAACCGAGATTAACTGCCATGGGATTCGTTACGCTGACCATGCGACACTCTCCATCTGTTAAAGTTGGCAGTAACTTTGCCGACAAGTGGTGGCCACTCTGTCAATATAGTTTGCTTGTGGACTAAAACCATGAAGTTTTTTTTGCTTTTTTTTTTTTTTTTGTATAGATATCTTCAGAAGTGTTTTAATAATGAGAAGTAATCTACTTCTTCAGCCTTGTACGCTGAATACAGTGGTACCAGTATGGTTCCAGTGGTTTCCTACTGCTGCTGTCTTCTCTGTCTTAATGTTTCATGTTGTAACCCTGTGAAGCAGGAGTTGTCTGTAGACCAACTGCAGTTGTCAGTACATCTGCTGTGAGGCATCACTGTTGGGTTGAGAAGGACAGTTTATGGTTTTTACCAGTCAGAATATGTGAATAATATTATTTACTTATTTCTGTCATAGTGGTATCTTCTTTCATGCCCATATGTTTACAGGCCTGGTTCCAGGCCTTCTTCTAACTTGGCTTATTTAATTATTTGCTCATTTTTTCCTCCTTCTTTTTGCCCCTGTTCATTTCTTTATACCCTCAGCCTCCTCCTTGTGTACTTGTATGCTGCTTGCCTTATGTCCTCATTTCGTTGCAAGAGTACTATGCCCCATGGATAACAGATTTCTGATTAGTAGGTTCCACACTTAGCTCTCATATCAGCTGGTTCCAGTGGATGTTAAATTCATTTGTATATATTTGTGGCTTGATGCATGAGGTATTCAGGAAGTTTAAGAACTGAGAAATGTGCATCTAAAAAGTTCAGATTTATTTTTTTGGAATATTCCCCATTCCTCATTAAGCATCTCTTTTGTACCTTCTGGTTTTTTTTCCCCCCTTTTGGATTTGTGTGTATAGGTCCAGGCTTTGCAACCATAACAGATGGTTGGTCTTATGCATGACATGTACAGTTAGAATTTGGTTATGGGTGGGAAGTTGGGAGTGGTATCCAGGGAGCTGGTATAGGTCTGAACTTCTTGTCGATGTCTTGGTGGATATGTTGTTCATATGTTCATTCCCTAGGAGTTTCCAGCCAAAATTAATACCAAGATATTTCATGTTCATTGACCAAAGGGGTTGAATGGCTGAATAATCGTAATTCATGTAGATGTCTGTGATCACCAGGTGAAAAGTATTGCTGTTGTCTTATCTGGTGAAGTTTTCCTAAATAATATATAAAATTTCAGTTCCTACTACACAGTAAACACACACTGTCTTATTCAGTTGGGTAATCCAGTTTAGGGAAAATAATCCTATATATTCTGAGATTCATACAAAACCCATAAATAATTTTGTGGGCAAAATGACGACTCATTTTCAAATTAAAGTAGGTGATACTTATTGTAACCAGTTTGTTTTAAAGTGTTGAGTTGAAGTATAAAATTATATATCTTTGTAACATTAGTTGTCTTTAATATGAGACCTGTCGCATTGTGCTTTGTGTCCTGTATAGGTACTAAGTTTGTCAGAGCCATCAACAAATGTGCTTCCAGTTACAGTAGAGGACACATACTATTCCCTCCAGAATCTCACACCTGGAGCATCCTACCAGGTGCAGCTGTTTACAGAGTATGATGGGAAAGAGAGTGTGGCCTATACCTCAAGAAATTTCACGACAAGTAAGCGCAACAGATGACTTTGCTTACTTATGTTTTTGTTTAAGCCCCTCAGAAGTATACGAGGGGGTACCCAAAAGAAACCGAACTTATTTTTTTAAACTTATTTATTCAAATTTTAAGCACAAACCTTCAATCCCCTTCAAAGTACTCTCCACTTACACTAATACACTTGTCTAGTCTTTTATTCCATTTTTCAAAACATTGTCTAAATTCATCTTTTGAGATGCTTGACAGCGCCTCCGTCGTTTTTTCCTTTCATGTCTCTTTTCATTCGAGGAAACAAAAAAAAGTCGCACGGGGCAAGGTCGGGTGAGTATGGAGGGTGAGGAACAGGGGTCATACCATTTTTGGTCAAGAATTGTCGTACAGACAGGGCTGTGTGAGCAGGGGCATTGTCATGATGGAAAAACCAGTCACCCGACTGCCACAGATCTGTCCGCTGAGCTCCAAGTCACTCCCGACAGCTCCACAATTTCTTCAATAGTCCGTCGTCGATCTTCCTTGATGATTTCACGAATTTTTTCAACATTTTCATGTGTTCGGGCCATGGAAGGACGACCAGAACGAGGTTTGTCATCAATTGACATTTCACCATTTTTGAAACGGGAAAACCACTCAAACACCTGAGTTTTCCCCATAGCATCATCCTTGTACGCCGTTTTTAACACTTCAAGAGTTTCTGTTCCACTTTTCCCGAGAAAAAAGCAGAATTTCACCGCCGCACGCTGTTCACGAAAATCAGCCATTGAAACAATGACGATCACACAAAACAGTTGTCACTATAAACTCTGCCGAAACTAGTCCTTACCTTCTGAAAAAATGGTAGTTGGCTTATCGACTCAGGAATGTTAGCTCTATGCGCTCATAGCGGCAAAACGCTCTGCCCACAAAAAAATTAGTTCGATTTCTTTTGGGTACCCCATCGTAGAGACACATATCAGCTGTGTTGTGTGCCCAAGAGGGCACTGCACTGTGTATATATTGGAGGAATAATTTAGTCATTTCTTCTAAGCATTTGGTTTCAGATTGCCTTCATTACCAGTTTTGTTTAGTTTTATTCTTCACTTGGTAGCATGTTGTAGCATAGTTGCTTGAGGCACTATGCTACAAGCTGGAAGGTTGCAGGATCAAATCCTGATGAGGTGGATTTTTTAAATTTACTTAATCCTTCCAACTGGACTGTAGCCCTGCGGTTGATTCAGCCTCTAACAGAAATGAGTACCAGGAATATTCTTGGTGGTAAAGGGCAGCCGGCCTGTGAGGCTGACAACCTTACCACCAACTTGGAGCCGATTATCTAGAAAATGTATGAACCTCAACATCTCACAACCCTATGGGCCTCCACGGCCTGTTACAGGGATACCTTTACTTTTTACTTTCTTTACTTTATTCTTCACTTGCTTTCATTGGCTAGAAAGCTGGTTATAGGGATGCATACACAGTAGCACAACAATACCATAATTGTAGTGGGGAAATTACAAATAGTGCTGTGGATTTGCAAGTTCTGCTTGTGTCCAAGCTATGTTTTTTTTTCTTTACTTTGTTCTATAAAGAAAGATAAGCATATGAACTTTTAAGTCTTTTTTTTTTGTCTGCTCCCACTCCCTGAAACTTGTGAACCACTAATTAATGAATTTTTATGATATATAAGTTGCGGTGATGTCACTGGAGCAAATTTTGCGATACTTCTTAATGCCACGTCATTAATGATGCTGAATGGCATCTCTGGAAATCACTGGGACAGTTGTGGAATTACTGTTACTTAATGTGGTGTTCTGGAATCTTGTGTGTAAAAGTGCTTCCTCTTTGAGTGCTAAAAGTAATAAGAAAGAAAGGGGACATGACTAGAATAAATAGGAATGATACAGTACAGTAAAAGGAATATTTTTTTTTTCCTTAGAGCCAAACACACCTGGCAAATTCATTGTGTGGTTCCGGAATGAGACAACGTTACTGGTGCTATGGCAGCCACCGTACCCTGCTGGCATCTACACACACTACAAAGTATCAATTGATCCAATGGATGCACTGGATAGTACACTGTATGTTGAGAAGGAGGGAGAACCCCCAGGGCCAGCTCAAGCTGCTTTCAAAGGCCTTATACCAGGTACAACAACTGTAGTTTCTGTTTTTGTCATAGGTACATAGTCTAGACCAAACCATTGCAACATAACGACAGCACCAATGCAGGAAACAACCTGTACACACCATTCATAAGAATAACCTAATATACATCACATACTGAATAATGAGCATAGTTCTGTAAGACATTGCTAAGGTCATGACTACATGACCTATCACATATAAGAAGATCTCGATACGCGGGCACCCCACATTATAATCGCCTATACCGGCATAAAAACCAGGCCAACACGTAGCGGTTGCAGAGTCTTACCACAAAAACAAAATTCTAACCTTCGTGTCTTAATCGTTAGTTTCTAATTTTAATCTTTATATCTTTAATTTTAAATTTTATTATCTAAGGATTTTCATTTTTGAAAATTTTTGACCACAACTTTGAACATGTATTTATGCATTTTAATAATTTCAAAGCACAATAAGGATCCTTATTCGAAGAATTAGATGATAATTAATTGCAATTCATCAGCTCATACTGGAACATCGTACGCCTGATGATGACGATCCAGTATAAGGGTCAAAACATGTTGCGTCTGTAAAAGCATAATAAAAGCAAATGTTGATGCAGAGGCGTCTTCTTTGTTTTTTAAACACAGAATATTGTTGTGTAGATGGCATACCTTATATAGTTTTGTATATCTATAGGTATGATTGTTTACCATGAATGTTGTATAAATCTTATTTCAGGAACTTGCTTAGAACAGCCACCAATTTGCAAGTAATATAATTAAAATTGTATTGTAATGGCCATTCACTGTTTATATACATTACATGGGGTCATGGTAGGATATGTCCTCTAAAATAACATCCTCTGTAAGAAGCTGAGGGTGGATATAGAAAGAAACTGAGAAAGAAAAGAGATATAAGAAAAAAGTAATCCAAATGAAGTCTCCTTTCACTTTCTTCGTATGTTGGTCATATTGTTTGCCTCCTGAACAAGGTCAGGCTGTGGAACAGAACAGAAATAGAGGAAGGGCAATGTTTTGCATTTTCATTTCTCAGAATAGGTACATGGTGTTAGGGCAGTACAGTGCCTAGTAATAGGCTGTACAGGTGGGATGTTGCTTTTACTGTTATTAGAATATCTTCGCTTTGTGACCACATTCAGAATTACTGCCAAACCATATACAGTCAACTCTCGATTATCCGGGATAATGGTGGGAATGGAAATCACGATTAATCGAAAACCCGGTTAAGACAAATTTTATGAAAAGTAGTACTGTAATACTGTACCTTCATAATACTATAGGCCTACCTGTATTTAAATTTATTCAACCTCATTTTTATGTCATCTCATGGCCTATTTAATACTTTTTTTTACATTACACTGAAATATGAATTAGTTATTTCAATCACAGTCTTCAACAACATCCAACATTTTTTACGAATATTCACACTTAACACTTAAAAAAAAATTAATATTGTCGTTTACTTTTTCGCGGCATTTTCCTTTTTCTGTTGAATACTTAACACAACATGCTTCCTTTTACACCCTGATATTTTGCTAACGCACTTGAAGATCGATACAAAGATACTAACTGGGGCGATGTATCTGTCCTTGAAACTTTCCACAAATCTTTGCATTCTTTCACCCCTACCCTAGAACATTGTGTTAGCATAATGGGACCAAAGAATGCAGAGCTCGGTTCACACTAGTGCGAAAATCGTGTTACAACTCACCATGTGAAACAAAAGTGAATGAATATTAAACAACATATAAGCGTCAAAAAAGCCTCAGTAGCCCCGGTTAAGCCGCAAACCAGTTAATCCGCCCCCGGATAATCGAGAGTTGACTGTAATACATAGCAGATAGATTTTCTGTAGCATGAAGCTGACCGCTCAGCTCTGTCTAATGCCAAAATTGAGAATGTGGGGAGATTTACTTCCTGACTACACTGAACTTCTGTGGCATTATTTTTCATTAAAAGGACAACTTTAACAAATAAGATGTGTTGAATTATAAGGTAAAACAAAATCTTTGTCCTTCTATTCATTATTCTATGATTATCATCTTATTACATTTAAGTAGTTGTATTAATAGAAGTTGTCTACTCATTGAACTCAAAATAAAGCTGTGGTTAAGTGTTCTCTCTAGGCAGGAAAGTATTTCATTTGTTGGTGGGAGTCCACGTATTGTTACTGATAAAGATAGATGCTGATCTGTGAACAGCAAGATTATAAAGGCAAAAGTATGTTGGACTCATGTACATTGTAAATAGTGTCCCTAAGGGGATCGGGATCCTAAAGAAACCCATTGGAGGTAGGAATATAAAATTTGGTATTGAGATATAATTTAAACATTCCTACAAGTCATCAGTTATAAACATGGCAACCTTGTGAAACTTTTGTGTTATATCTGATAAATTTAATTTATTCAGGATCTATACTTAATAAGTTTCTTTTCCCAGAAAAGTAGTAGTAATAATTCAATTCAATTCAATTCAATTCAATTCTTTATTATTAATGTGCCGAGTCAACAGCCGCAAGGCCAATTACAGACTCAGCACAGTGTAGATGACTGAATTACATTACATACAAACTTATTAGAAGTCAAATACAAAATACAGTTAAGTAATTGGAAGAAATAATAACGAATAAATGTAAAAGTAAACAAACAAATAAGCGATAATTATAACAGTAATAATAATTCCATTATCATTAAACTAAGTGCTATTACGAATAGAGGAATGAAACATTAATATTTAATCAAGAATTAAATAGTATAGATAACACAGAACTTTGTAACATACTTGTATTTACAACTGTGAGCAATTAAGAGAATATTACTAGATGCCAGTGCATAACTTGGCAGGTCATAGCGCCAAGCGAGTCTGATTAAAAAAGGACACAAATTTTGTGTATTAAATTTCAGATCATTAAAGAGTAAGATTCAGAAGCAGTTCATTTAGTGACTGGTGTTTATGATTCAGAGTGAGCAGAGGACAGGTCGTTGCTGCTGCCTATCCAGGGTGACCCATCAAGATAATTACAAGCACCTATAATTCATGTACACTTGGATAATATGACAGTTTGCTCACAATCTCAGTACACCAACCCATCAAGAAAATTTCATGACATTAATAACACGAGGTTGTTACAACTTCAAGTCTGTATGACAGAAAAGTTGCCTTGACTAGTATATGTTCTGCCCAGAACTCCTTGCTGTAGTTTTGCAGACCAATGCCAGGATAGTATCCGTAAACAGACCATAACTTACAACTTATTTATATTCAACCTTTCCATTTCCTTTTGACACTGCATTACTTCTGCATTTGATGCAATGTAAAAAAATAATGTTGCAAATAGACACACTGAACTGTCCCTCTGTTATAGGTTAGACTTTTGAGAACTACCAAATTATTTAAAGAAATGTGCTTAGTTGTCTTTATGAAGTATGTGTCATGGTGAACTGCAATGACTTGTACATATTCCAGGTCGTGCTTACAACATTTCAGTTCAAACTTTAAGTGAAGATGAAATATCAACACCGACAACGGCTCAGTACCGTACAGTACCTCTCCGCCCACTAAATGTAACTTTCGACAAGAACTCAATCACCTCAAGTTCATTCAAAGTGCACTGGGATCCTCCAAAAGGAATGAGGTAATGTGTCTTCATTATTCTTTGAGGTACTGCCCCAATTTTCTGGATTAAATTAATCTGTGATAGAAAGTTCTGATGTAGAATCTGAAAATATGAATTTCATATACACTAAATCCTTCTCCAACATGGCGGATATGTTCCTCAAGGAGTGGGACTATTGGGTTCTAATGCTTTGCAGTTTGGAGAAAGCCAATTATTTCAGAGGAACATGTTGCATGACCTAATAATCTATGACCCTGAAGATGGAGGTGGTGTGGTCCTCCAAAACGTGGAGGTTTCTCAAAACTACATGGTGTTTCAACTTCGTGGTCACTGATATACGAACCTCAGCTCCAGCATGTTGAAGTAACTTTACTTCATATTTGAACATTCTGTTTTTATAATCACATACCCCTCATGTGTTCTTTCATTTTGCAGTGAATTTGACAAGTACCAAGTGTCAATCAGTGTGCGCCGACAGACTCCAGTGAGTCGCATGCGTGGAGAACCAACAGCATGGGAATTTAAGGAAAACCTTGAACCTGGTCGCAGCTATCAAGTGGTTGTGAAGACTGTGTCAGGCAAAGTGACCAGCTGGCCTGCCACGGGAAATGTGACACTCAGTAAGTATGCTTGTAACAGGCCAACTGAGAATTTAATCATTTAAGGAGTATGTTGAAATTTAAGCAATTTTCATATCCTTGCCTCCATGCAAATACTTTGCATTTTATCATTGGTACATATTTTCAGACTTACACTTAAGTGCTGTAGTTTGAGAAACTTATCTTTTAGATAATGAGAGTGTATTACTTTGAGAAGAAACATGAATTTCAGAGGAAATTATTGCTTCCATTTTCTATCTTTAAAATACTGACAGGAGATATCTCTGAAGCCATTTTTAATTTTGGGTCCATTTAACAATGCTGCCAGTAGTTCAGATTACATAGCACTGAATGGGAGGCTGATGAACAGTGAATTGGAAAGAGTGTGGAAGGAAGGGATTTTTGCTTATTTCAAGGTACTGTCCTGCCATTCAACAGTATGTATTCACATGTATGTAAGGGGTGGGCCATATAAACCAGCCCCCGCACTGCAACCTTCAATGATCTCTTCTGCTGCAACAGTATGTAACCTAAACAGCTGACAAATCATTATATATAATAAATAAATAAATGATAGACATTTTAAAATATCAGGTGTTTATTCTAAAAACAAGGCTGCAGTCCAAGAGGCCTGGCAATTAAATTTATAACTGTACACCGTTATTTTTTGTTGACATGAACCCTGTGAACTGTTTTGTTCATTTTGTTGAGAGAATTTCTGAAATAATTTTTTTTTAATTGTGTTTATGAGTTTTGTTTCAGTAGGAACTTTGATTGTTTCATGTAAGTCTTGAGGGTATAGGCACTCTGTTCCAGAGCCCCTACCAGTCCAAGATTTACATGCAAGTATGGATATAAAAACAGGATTTGTGAAGTTGGACTGGCATCCAGATAACACTAGCCTCCAGGAGGGCTACAAGGTAAGTAAACTCATTGAAAGCTTACATGCATCAGTTATTTATTTATGTGCATTTTATTTAACGATGAACACACACACATATATATATATATATAATTTTTACTGTCAACACAAGAGAACAGTAAAAATTATATGTTCATTGTATATGTGCAACAGGATGCAATCCTTAAAAATATTATTTACTGATGCTGTCAGCAACTGAATCATTGGTTGCTAATGAATAGTGAATTGGAAGGTATGTGGAAGGAAGTTGTTATGGTCTGATATGAGATACTTTATTAGGCATTTGCCTGGAGGGACTAAAAATAAAACTACAGTACTCTCAGACAGGATAGTCGTATCAACTGAGATTCAAAAAACAGGCATCTCCTGAATACAAGTTTGCAGTAGTACTGCTTCAGACCCTTGCAGGGGACAGTGTTGCATTGATTGGGTTACGCCTTCATACTTTTTATGTATTGTCTTAATTATATTCATCAGTTTGGTGTTTTCAGTGAAGTACTGCCAGTGGCAAGAACATTTTTGGCTTAAATTTCTTATTTTCATATAATTCTTATCACTGGCAGTTTTATTTTCTGTACCGACAGATTAGTTCCTTAGCACACATAGTTAAAAAGGTTGCCATTTTTAAACACAAACTTTTTATGATAGGCATTTGGCAACATGTCTGAACTCAAAATCGTACTACATTTTTGTGGGTTTATATTTCATATACTCACCATAGCATAGCAAACCAAGAATCAGAAACAATGCAAGTGGATTTATAAAATTTCATCGCACTATTTTCAGTGTCAGATTATAGAAATTTGTTATTTTCATCAAACCAGTTGCAATTTTACTAAAAATATTGTCTTAATGAGATGGATTTATTTTTCGGACATATGATACCATACAAATACATAACTTGAAGCTAGGATTTAATGATGCCAATGTTATTTTCACTTCATAAGTACATATAGTTGCCATGTTTTGGATTGCAGATGACACTGAGTCCAAATGTATGAAGACTGAGAAGGGGACATTGTATGCTGTTCATAACCAGTTTTACAGACGTTTTTATTCTGTACCTAATTAATGATGTCTATGTACAGGGACTAGACAGGCAGGCAGGTTGTGCAGCTCACTAATAGTTTCTGAAGAAAGTAAAAATGAGGAATGTTTCTCTATATAATTATCACATAAATTTTATTTCATAAATGTCATAATTCTATGCCATGTTTTTTCCTGTTTTAACCATCAACAAGTGGCGATCATGACCAAGATGTTATACAGATAATTACTGGATCTGTAAGTTTAGCAATTGTTTATCGAAGAAGACCAAAACTTTACCAAAAATTTGACCCATCCTATAAACTTTTACAAGAGTGGAGTGAGAGACTAAATGTTGTTAAAATATGTAAAATATGTGAAAGAAGCAGCATCAGAATGAAATGAAACATATCAAGGAATTAACCATATTTATGAAATAAAGTTTGTATGATGGTTATATCAGATACCTTTAACAAATGCAAACAGAATGGAACAAAACAAGAGGAAAGGAGATATGGTACAAGTGGACAACTGATGTGTAATTCAGTTTCATTGATGTTACTGCTTATGTTCAGGTGAGTTATCATGAGGTGGAATCGTTTAATGGAGACAACAACTCACTGTATGTGGAGAAGGCAGGTACACTGCTGCTGGAATCTCTCCTGCCTGGCAGAAACTACTCCATCTCAGTGCAGGCAATCAGCAATGGTATGGAGAGTAATGAGACATCGATCTACCAGGCCACTCGTGAGTACACACTGTCCGTGTAGCAAAATAGTATAGCAGTACTAGTCAGTGATGTCACAGTACACACAATTGAGCCCCTTGCCTCCATGTATGTAACTAATTAACTTCATGGAACTAAATCCTTCTTGATAAGCCATTAGTACCTCAGCTTCTCCAGAATTTCCCACCATTTTATGGAAGCCAAAGGTTCATTACCCTGTAAACAAGAGCCCTCCACTGTTTTGAGTTCTAACCCAGATAAATGCAGTCCCTACCACCCCATCCTGTTTCTCTAAGATCCTTCTTAAGATTGTTCTCTAACCAATGTCTATGTCTTCCTAGCAATCATTTTCCTTCTGGCTTTCCCACCAAAATCCTATGTGCATTCCTCTAACATATACGTTTTTTATTTTATTTTTTTTTACTTTGGAGCTACGGCCCCAATTTGGGCCTTGGCCTACCTCCATGAAACTCTCCGTTTCACTTCGGTTTACTAGATCTTAGACATTTGGTAGGACTACTTGGGTGGTCATCAGCTCGTCGCAAGGCCTCTACCTGGACACAAACATAGAAAATCACGCAAACACAGACAAACACTAAACATCCATGCCCTGAGTGGAATCGAACCCACGATCCCGGCTTCCAAGCGGGCAAAGACAGGGCATGCCTTAGACTGCTCGGCTACTGTGACCCAATCAACATGTACGTAGGAACAGAAAAATATATAAGGGCAGATATATCATATAGCTAATTTCTGTTAAATACTGAAACAGTTCTTTGTCATCATAAGCAGTTTACTGAGGACTCTTACCTTTTTTGGTGTAACAGTTTCCCCACGCATACTAAAGTGATGACTTTAACAACATTTTTTTCTTTATTATTTCAAATATATTTTTGTACTACTCAGTTCCCCATCATAACTCAGAATGCTGTTGTCATCGTTTTACTTTATTCAGTTATTTTCATGACATACTGCATTTATGTGTTACATACGAAGACAGCCATTCTGAAATGTTTTGTAGAGAGCCCATGATATATGACAATACAACTAGTGTTCATGTATGGCAATTTTGAACACAATATACTATGGATTTGGTCAAGTCCACTGAGATAACAACTGTAGAGTGTGTGTGAGTTAGTCAGGGGCTCTACTCCCTCCCCCCGACTGAGCAGTTGCAGGCACTGCCCTGCTGCTTCTCACCATACCTCTCTTCACCTGCAGCTTCAAAGGCTAGGTCTGAATTCAAGGTCTACACATCAAAATATATTCCATGCTTGAACACATTGTGATCAGTTTTAGAAATATGAGAATGTAGATACTATAGGGTTCTGATGATGGTGTATAACACACAGAGATACTGGTTTTTGGACTTTGTCCATCGTCCGGGTTCTAAATAACTAAGAAAAAACACAACGTTTCAGAAGCTGGAACTGTTTCCTTCCTCAGGTGAGGGAAAGACACCTATTCTGTTGGGTCCCTTAGAAAGAGCTAGCCTCAATCAGTGATTGCATTTCAGCATTTCAGTAACGCCGTGGTCCCTTTTATAGGACCATCATCACCAATCATTGAAGATCTCAAGCCAATTCCCGATGGACTCAACATTTCTTGGAAATCAGATGTGAAGACTCGGCAGGATAAGTTTGAAGTTACATACAACCGTAATGATACAGGTAAGTTTATGTAAATTTGTTTGTTATGTAGAACAGATTATAGTGCATGTTTTTATATGCATATTATCACAATCCTCCTGTGTTAAAAATAAACACAAACTACATAATGTTTGAATAACTAACAGCAGTGTAACTGCACATGTTTGTGTAATTTTGATCATAGTGTCATTAATCTGTCTTAACACACTCTAACTCGGAGTTGGCTATCATGAAGCAAATAAGATAATAATATGGAATGTAGCAGCAAAGCAATCTTCACACTTTACCCTCAACTGTGTTTCATAATTCTCAGTGTTATGTTTCTGTGGAGATTGGAGTTTCAGCTGGGTCACCTGTTTTTCATGTTTGTGGTTTTTCTTCACCTCTCCAGCAGATGGTGAGGTATAACTTTAGAATTACAGAGTGTACGTGACATGTTCTCATTTTTAGAGCAGTTTATCAGGTATGGAGCCCATAATTTCTTACAACATACAGCAGCCATAACAGAGTTTCAAAATAATGTGAATTCTGGTGTTACTTATTCTAAGAAAAGTGTATTGCAATATTAAAGAGAGAGTTTTAGGGTGCATTTTTTTCTTAAATCACATGATAGATTTGAAGAATGAACCATTTCAGAACTTCTATGCGTATGCAATAAGCTGTCACAAGTATAGAATATTTATGTACCCAACTATTGTGCAGTGCAGATGTGTAACAAATTGAGAGATTTAAAATGAGAAAAGATATGTATATTTGCAAAATTAACTATAAGTATGATATGGATAACTTGTCTTAATGAGAAATTTTGTTCTGCTGAAAACATATACCTAATTACACATCTTTCCATCTGATCAGTGGTGTGGTGGTAAATGTTACCAGCATGTGTCAAACTTACATCATCCGAATGTGTTTTCAACAGAAATGTATGCTGTATTAACTGAATATGATGTTTTATATGAAAAAGATAACCGGTAAAAATTTGTCTTTGTCAGTACAGACATAAGATTGATTTGAATGATCCTGTCTTGCTCGGAACTCCATTCCTAGAATTACAGAATTGCAGTTCATTTCACATGCTTTGATACTGACGCCTTTTGTATGAAATGTTACATCCATTGTTTTATATTTCATATACATAGTCAAATAAGCATCTTTCAGTATCCTGAAATTCCCCCTTTTGATTCTGGAATGATCACAAGAAGACATTTGTTTTTATTAGAGATGTTTCCAGTGTCTCAAGCCTCTCATGAACTTCTTGAGTGATGTCAGTCTTCTGAAGGGCCCTGTTTCATCTGCACATTCAGCTGCTTCCAACTTAAAATATTGTGAAATGATCCTATATTGACTACCTTTACTTCACTCGTGTTACTACCAATAATAATCGTGCAGTTATGGCTAGTACCAACACGAAAGCAAAAGGGACACATTTTAAACATGAAAATTGCTGCAAGCATGTAAAGTGTGGACCATGGTAGCTGTAAAACACACTCTGAAGTGGAACATGAAGTCATACAAACACAAAAGAAGTCCATAGCTCTGCAAGTGAACTATACCGACTGAGCAGCCGCTATTTCTCAGCGAAGTTAGTGCCAACTTTAGTGGATAGAGGGTATCATATGGTCAGCGCAACGGATCCCCATGGCCATTAATTTCGGTTTTCTAGACCAGAGCCGCTATTTCCTGAAATAGCTACTCAATTATCCTCACAAGGCTGAGTGGACCCCATTCCAGACCCACTACTTCTCAGAAAATCTGGTAGCGCTGGGAATCGAACCTGGGACCTCTGGATCTATAGGCAGGAACTCTGACCACAGAGAATTCATAATGTGACAAAAATTCAAAGGAAATTTTGATGGGAAATGAAATTACCAAATTTTGTGCCATAAAATATGAATGTGACTTATGTGATGTTCTGCAAACAAAGATTTATTAGAGGGCTTTTTTTTTGGGGGGGTCTTTGTTTTAGGTTTTCTTTTGTCATGTTTCACTGAGACTACTGAATAATAAACATGGGATACAATTCCATGTAGTAATGGTGACTGAGCGGGGGGGGGGGGATATTTTGTCAGTATTTCTTTTCATGCACTACCAATGTCATTTCACAGAATTTCGTTAGTAATCTGGAAATCATCAGCTCACTGTGGATTGTATTACCATATTATTTTTGGATGAACAGTGAATAAATTTGTTCCCAGCAGGCTGGGAATGACACTACTGATTTGTCAGAATACTCATTACTGACTCGTTATAAATTCCCACCGCAGTGGCCTGGGTTTGATCCCAGGTCTGGTCAAGTGGTATTTGTGGTGGACAAAGTGGCGCTGGGGCAGGTTTTCTCCGAGTACTTCGGTTTCCCCTGCCAATCTTCATTCCACCAATTGCTCCACAATCACCCTCACCTATCATCTGGGGCTGGTACAATAGGCCAGAAGTGGCCGCAGTACAAGGGACTTAGTCCCACCCCACTAGCAATAAAAAAGAAGACACATTATAACTGTCAATGAACACAGTTATTCATAGTCTTTGGAATATTGACACTGGGAGATTTAAATTTATGAGGTGGATCACATTGAAGATTTCATTGGCTATTGAATGACTGGTGTGATATGTGCTACTGCTAAGATTGCTGGTATGATTGTAATAATCTTTCCTGATCATAACTAAGTCTTATGCATTTCTAAGCCTTATAGCCAAACACAGTTAATTTTGTATTTACTATAGGCTCAGGTTTTGTTTTAAGAATGAGGATCATTTAACCTTAGAATTTAAACCTCAAAAAGCTTCTTAACAAAATTCTGCTTTATCCTAGCAACATAAGCATTATGTTCCCAGAGAGCAGTGGAATTCTCTTCCTTCTCCCCACAATTAAAATGAAGCATCATTTAATACTCTCAGTTTCATTACTGCTGTTTGTAGGCTTGCTTTCTATGTTTTGATAATAACAAAATTACAGAAATATTTTAATATGAGCAGTAAGGGAACTTTATGTGTGCAGATTACACAAAAGCCATACTGGTGTAGAGTAAATTAAAAAAGAAGTCCAGGGACATATGTTCATGTTACAGGAAATGTGGCTTCTCTTCCCATGTGTGTATTCAAAATTCTTACTTCTGCGTGAAAGAAACTACTCTGGCTTGAATTTTCTTGCAGAGATTTTTGGAATGGAGTGAAGGACCAGGGTCGATTGGAATAGTGCATGAGATGCCCCTTCAGTTACCAGCATATTGCTCGTAACACAACACCAACTAAGAAGGATGGTCAATGGCCCAAACCTTCTAGACAACAAAATAGTTCCACCTCTTGTCCTTCCCTTATGGGCTGTTATCTGTTAGTGTCCCGGTAAAAATTTAATGCAATCTGTATGTGTGAATTGCAATTTTAAGTCAAGAAATCATTCGTGTAAACCTAAAAGCTTTCATCGAATGTTTTCAAGGTAGATTGAGTTCCTTTGCTAATTTAGGAGGACTTCAGCATTTTGCTGTCCATATTTGGTCTTTTTGATTACTGGATAAAAAAAATGCTCCTTTTTCTGTCTCATTTAGTCTCATGGCAGTTATTTTGCCATTGATCTCTGTGATGTTAATTGTTAATAGAACATATTTTCTTGCATGAGATAACTGACTTCATAGAGAATGGCATGATTAAAAAAAGAAATTTGGTATAAAAGATTATTAATGCCGTTCAATGTGATTGATAAATGTTGTGTTTTTTTTAATTTTTCATCCTTTAAATGTTTTGGTCATAGTGACCATCTTCAGAAGGACATTGTCAGTACGCTGTATTGTTAACAACACAGCGTGGCCTGAACAGTTGGACGACACTAAAGAATCCTATTCTTCAAACAATGGGACCACAATGTGGCATACATTCATTTTCCTTTAAAGAGAAGTAGTAAAGAGGGCATGAACCAAATTGGTTCTAGATTTTATCAAAAAGTTTTTTAAACACTACTTTGTAAATAGACTAATTATAATAATTTATAAATGTGTTAACAAATTCATGCACATCATAGTAATTGTTACAGAATAATATTTTATACTTATGACATTGTAATAATTTCTTTAAGTACTGATAATGATCAATGACATTGTAATAGTGGTTTCCGTATGTATTGACAGTGTCCTTCTGAAGACGGTTGCTGTGACCGAAACATGTACAGGATGAAAGATTAAAAAACGCTACTTTTATCAGTCACACTGGATGGTATTGATAATCTTTTATACTATTGCTAGCGTGACGGATCGGGATGAACCAAGTCAAATTCAAGAAATTTGGTTTCTTTATTCATGACAAATTGGGGGTTCCCATGCTAGTGGCAATGGTCAGTTTTGTTCATTAATGCTGTGGGGATGTTATTTAGGTATAAACAGAAGAATAGTATGCACTGGATGTAATGAGACTTGAAGTATCTGTTAGATTGGCTACCTTAAAAATGTCTGATAGTAACCTGTACTTTTCTTAGGAATTTGTAATTGCCCTCTAGAAAGTGGTGTCAGGTGGTTAAACTGAGCGGGGCAAGATTGTATAAATGGAATAATATTTTTACGTATTTTATAAAAGTCAGTATAATTGTATATATTATTTTTTTAAAACAACTTTATGTAAACAAGGAAGAGACATACTCCATTACCAATATTATCTTGAATATAAATTGTATATAATGTACATAAGCATCATAATTTACTCTGCAAATTCAGTTCGTCTCAAGAGGAATTATGAATTACCGTCAGAACTTCTCAAATAAAATGTAATTGCTGCAGCCATGAGATATTTTAAACTTTATTATATATTTTTCTGTCATCATCATTAGGTTTTTAAGTGATCTAGATTACTAAAATGTTCTTTCTTCCTTTTTTGAGTGACATTTATGCACAAGCATTATTCTTGGTGTTAAGTATTGTAACTGTAGTTACTAGCTTGTGTAACTAGATACAGATTGAATTTTGTTGGTACATTTATATGAAGCTGAGAGTAATTGGCACAAGTTGACCATGTTGATTAAAATACATTTTACTCTTTGC